AATTGCGCTTTCTGCTGTTGCAAGACACGTAAATGTGTGCAGAAGAACCATCTAAAGTTGGAACAAACGTTTTAACACCACAAGAACTGTCCAAGACAAGCCTAGGCGAGGCCAACCAAGGGCGACTACTCTACGTCAGAATTGGGTTATTGTCAACACCCAAGTGCGAAACCTGTTCCAACTAAGTGCATAGACTGTCAGGTACTTCGTACTATCTTAAAACACCTTTATTAGATATTAATAAGATCGTGGATTACGTGATTATCGCCCTTTGCCTGGAGCCATTCTAACCCTGTTTCATCGAACAAATCGCCAAATTTTGACACAACAACTTTGGCGATAAAACTAAAGTTGGTAAAGTGTTCTTTTAAGCAATGGTTAAGGGTTTTTTTCATCGCATGCATGGAAGAGAAAAAGAGTTTAAAAGAAAAGGATAATGATTTCCCAAATCCAACGTCCCCCAAGAGGCCCGAATCGGTGGCTGAAATGTGATGGTATGGGGTGGAATCTCTGCTCTTTATCGTACACATTTGGTTACTTTTTAAAGCAACCTCAAAGGACGACGGTATTGTGACGAAAGTCTTCGTCACTGTGACTACCCTACTTGGCACGGATGATGGAACGTGCTAATAAGACAACGCCCGACCACAAATGACTACGATCAGTGAAAACTTGTTTCCAATCTCATCAGATCCTTGTTCTGGACTGACCTGCAAGACCAACAAGCCTTAACTCACAGAACATCTGTAAGATGGCATTAACTGGAGGATTAGAAACAGACGGCACTCCGTATAAACTCGTCAGGAACAGAAGACTGCACTTCACAAGGAATGGCAGGGGATTCTTCAGACCACCATATGGATATTAATTCAGTCTACGAACAGATGTTGTGTATCAGTAATTCAAGCTGGAAGAGGCCACACGCCTTACTGAGCAAACTTTGATATGGATTTTGCAAAGGTCAGTGTGCATAAAATTATCTCCCTTGAATTAAGAAAGAAATATGTCAATTCTTGTCATGTCATGTTGGCAGAAAATGAATAAAGATCACGAGTACCAAATTTCTCCAGCTATGTTGAATAGTAAACGAGTTATTGTACCTTTAAGGTGGGTGTGACAGAACTTTTGCGCCAGGGTAACATGTCTCAATGACCAATTAAGGAATTGTACATAGGTGCTTCTCGACACAGTCTACTAGCACGCTGCACAGAGCTCAATGGTTGGGGGGGGGGGGGTCATAAACGAGGTTGGAAGGTGCTCTGGTGAGGTTTGCTTCTTCTTTCCAATCCTCCATCAATCGTCTATGTATATCTCTCCTCCTTCGTTTTGTGTTTCTTACTTCCTTGCAACATTTCTAATTTTTGTCACTTATTTGACCTAATTGTGTTGCAAATGCTGTAAAACATGACTAAAACTTTTTTTAAACACTAAAAGCAAAGTTGCAATAAAGTCTCAACATAAACTAACAAAAATTATCCAGGGCCTGCAGGGTATCAATAAGTTACTTTGCTGTCCCATGAAAGAAACCAGAGGAGTCTTTTTTCCTCCCTACTGGGGAGAATTTTTGTCTAGTATCTCCGTCTTTTTTGCCCTGACAGGTAGGCTCGAAGCCCGCCTCCTAATTGATCTAAATTGTGTCGATGGGGCCTAAAAACACCTACATGAAAAGTAGATAATGGTATACTCAACGTATTCCGAAGTACAGCAAAGCGTCGTATTGCACATCGTATAGCAATACAGGACACCCCGCCCCCATTTTTTTAAAGAAAAAAAAATAGTACCTTAAAAATTAGATGACTAAACGTGCATAAAAGACGCAAACAAACATATCATTTTGTAACCCTCTCTGTGTCTTTATAAAATATTGCGAAAATCAGCCTCATGTACATAGTAGCAGAAAGTAAAACATTTGTTCTTAAACAGTAATCATACAATAAATGTAATGAGTAACTTTTGAGCATTGTCAGGTTTCGTTAAAAAAGTGGAGCAAGATATATACGAAAAAAGAAAAGTGTGATCAAACAAACAACGTAACATAAGATCCAGTGAGTTAACAACGAGAAGCCAACTTTTACAGGGAAATCAAGTTTACAATCTTTGATAACAACTTTTACATTTTCATTCGAATATAATATACGTTCCACGTGTTTAAAGTACACTTGAAAATTTTGCTGCGTTTAGTAAAAAGGCTTTTTGTACCGTCATAACTAAACATAATATTATGACGTGTTAAAGCTGGAGAAAGGGAAAGGGGAAGAGGACGGGGACGAATGACTAGAAGGACGAGGAGGAGGGAAAGAGAGCAAAGAAGAGGAGGGGAGAGGTGGATGAGGAGGAGGAGGAGGAGGAAAAGAATAAGTGGAAGAGGAGGTGGAGGAGGGGAAGAAAGAAAGAAGAATGTCAGAGGAGGTTCAGGATCGCAACAAAGTTGAAAATAAATACATGGATCGTCTAATCAATCTATATGATGTTTGTGATAAACAGTAACAATTTCACAAGATCAAAATGTGAGTATTTTTTTCGAGCTTGTCTCAAATTCACGGACAATAAGGACATACTCACTTAAGCTGTGGTCTAAAACAATCCAGTCCCATTTTTTCCTGTTTCTTCTCCTTACTAGGTTTTCGAAAAACTTACTTTTTTATATTTCTGTAGATACGCTCAAAAGTAATAAAGATCTGGAGATACCCCAATAGTAATCGTCTATCTACTGAGCATTGAGGAGATTCACTTTTCTATTTGCTTCCCCTCTTCTGAAGACCCCTTATTTATAACCATAACGCAACCATTACGACACTTCATTCACTATAAAATATAAATATAGATGTGCTATATGAATGCTATCTGCTATAGTGTATTTTGTTATATCAAAGCCACTTCAATAAACCAATATTACTCCTGCGACTACCTTGCCTCATGGACGACATAAAAAAATGAAGTTAATAATATCACCCTCTGCCCTCGCCATCTTACAAGTACCACCAAAGGCATTTATAGGACATCTTTTTTTAATGTCACTGAGCGTAGCGGGAAAAAAACACATAATCACGTATGAACAAATAAACACGTATATTATGAGCATTGATAGAAACACATGCTGTAGCTCAATGAAGAAGTTGGTTTGCATATCCAAAAACAAAACAACAAGTTATATAGACAGACCTAAAGTTTAAAGGAAGTGCAGCGCAGTCTACACTTTAGGAAATCTTAATGAGTGGAGGAGAGCTTTTTTTTCAAAATCTAAAGAAAATTAGAACAGATTTCCAAGGTCACAAACAGTAATTTTTTTCTTGAAATGATAATGCATAGGCATAACATGCCTCTCAATACTGTGAGGTCATTTAGGAGGCGGAACCTCCGAATATATCGTCGATCTCTGGTAGGACCGAGCCAAAATTGGCGGAGAGCCTTGAAACTCTACAAAACAACCCTCGTCCAGAATGATCTGTTGGGGGTCGAACCATAGATATTCGCTCCATAGTCTGACATGATACCAACTACTCTAATGGTGCGCACACCAACAGTAGCGTCAACAAAATATTAAGCCCTATATCCATTTAGGTATTTATTTATTTTTTAAAAAGCAGGAAAACCATCACTAGTACCTGCTGCGTCGCCGGCCAAAAACCACAATACCAACAGCAGCAGCGACAGCAGCGACAGCAGCGACAGCAGCGACAGCAGCGACAGCAACAGTAGCAACAATAGCATCAACAGCATCAACAGCAGTAGCAGCAGCAAAGTCAACAAAAGTAATCTTGAACTCGAAACAAAAAGAAGAAATCTACCCAGGATCGTATAATTGATAATAATATACTGCGTCGTTTCTTCCCCTCAAAACATTCAGTTCTAACAAATAGCAAGCCCCACCACCGCTGTCACGAAAAGACCCGCTTCGTAAATCATCTAAATTCTGTCGATGTGGGTGTTACAAAAACATCAAAGATTAGCAGTCATCGTTACAACATCGTCCACCATCATCAACAAGTCCGCGGGCCTGCCGCAGTCTAGTAAACTTTACACAACCACAAAATTCCTGGTTCCTATTCCGAATCTCGTCGGAATATACAATAGTAAACATAAACTAAAACAAAATCCAACCAACAAATTTATTATGCGGTGTTGTGTGCAGATCCATCAAGAAAGACGTTCGACGAGAAACAAAACCATAACAAGAGTAAAACAAAACAATGTCACCAACTAGACCGGTGTGTTGCAGATAAATACGAGACGCGAGAAAAAATTAAAGCTAAACAAATCAAAATATTAGAAAATAAAATAAAAGCAAAACTGAAAAAAACAAAACAAAACAAGAATACGAAACCAACAAAACATAACAATACCACCAAACAAACCGGTGTGTTTGGGATAACTCCAACCTAATGACGCAGCAAAACAAACAAACAAACAAATCAAAAGCCAAACCAACCAAACAAACAAACAATCCAAACGGAATCAAGCCAAACCAAATCCTTTATACTGATGTTTTGTCTGTAACACCGTCTCAATGACTGACCCTTGAGACCGAGATGTTTGTCTGTGAATGGTCATCTCGACCAATGTGTTGTGTGCAGCACCATCAAACTGACACCTTAAACCAATGTGTTGTTTCTAAATCAGTCACAATGACTTTTCATGCCGATATGTTGTCTGCTACGCCGGTCACACAAAGGCCCATCAGACCGATAATGTGTGTGTAACATTACCACACTGACCATTACACCAAAGCGTTGTTTTTAATGACAATGACAATGACAATGACAATCTTTATTCTTCTCACCGGGAGAAATATGTCTTGGTCATTAACAATGGCCATAGACGTTACAAAAGTTAGACTTAAAAGGTGCACTCATGCAAACGCACAACAAGACAGGACATTAGGCCAAGTAAATACATGTCTCACGTGCTGGGACAACCCGCTCCGTAAAACATTCTCTCTCTCTCTCTCTCTCTCTCTCTCTCTCTCTCTCTCTCTCTCTCTCTCCCTCTATCTCTCTTTCTCCCTCTCTCTCTGTTTCATTTGTAGCACTGTGTGTCCCGTAACTTCACTGAGTTTGGTACCAATGAATTTCTATATCTGTCTGTCATAGACGACCCATTTGACCAAAGTATTGTTTTACGGCCGTCCCAATGACATTTATTCATATCGGTGGGAAACGCCACACAATGACCCATCAGACTGATGAGTTGTCTGTATCGCAATAACCATGATTCACTACCCCGAGACCATTCCTGTAGTCTGGAGCAGTGGCGTCCTTGCTAATGCTATACGGCGGCAACATTTCATGGACCTTCACGTCATCCTCGGACAGAGAGGACGTGTTCTTGTTCCAAACTCGTATGGTGTATCGGTCGTCTCCGATACGGTCCTCTGGCAGAGCCGGGCCCCACGATTTGTGGCGTCTTATCATGTTAGGCTGAAATCAGATATAATAATATAACATTGTAAAGGGACGTGTCAGCGAGGAATGGAGCATCGAAATTATGCAGAGATGACAATATCGAGGAAAGAGACTTATTCTCTAGCTTCAACTAAGTGGATGGTTGGCGGGTGCTCTGGGGTGGTTTGCTTCTTCTTTCCTATCAAACATCTATCGTCCTTATCTCCCTTCCTTCATTTTTATGTTTGTTACACTCTTGTAACACCTCTAATCTTCTGACGCTCATATGACCTTATGCCGTAAAACCTCTACTAAAACAAACAATAACTTCCACACAGATGCAGTAGAGGAAAAACGACGTACGTCTCAAAATTTTGGAGAGATTCGATATCGAAAAATGAGGGGATATTGAAGCAGAGATACACGATAGAAATAATAATACGCCTGGACACCAAAACACAAAGGGAAGAGACGGCTGCTGATTTGGACACACACACACAGTGAGAGAGAGAGAGAGAGAGAGAGAGAGAGAGAGAGAGAGAGAGAGAGAGAGATGGAGAGAGAGAGATAGAGAGAGAATGAAAGAGAAAGAGAGATTTTGTTATAATGACAGTGTGTGTAATATTCTGTGTCAGAGAAGTTAGTAGAATACATCTACTTCAGTTATGTTTTGCCTGTTAGTGGCTCAACATCTTAGTAGATGACGATATACGTTTTGCAGCTGAAATCTGTATTGGAATCGTGTGTATCTTCCCAAAAAGTCAGATCATTAGTACTCTCTCTCTCTCTCTCTCTCTCTCTCTCTCTCTCTCTCTCTCTCTCTCTCTGCCTGTCCCGCCCTGTTATTGGGTATAGACTACTTGCGTAGTATCTATTCGTAGACAGCTCCGACAGAAATAGACCAGTCAAAATTATGCTTTTCGCCTCTAGACTAAGTTTTAAAAATCTTGGGGGTGGGGGGGGGGTAGAAGTTTAACCCATAATTTGATTTGTTGCAGTTAAATTTATAATTTTATTGAAAAAAAAAAGATTTCCGAATGTTTTAGTGGTTATATGTGTGATCTGCAGCAATTGATACGCAGTTTGACCCCCAAAGCAGTGTATCTGTGTGCGGGAGTGCGTTTCTGGATAGCTCCTGGGTGTTCGCCGGAGACGTCTCCGAATATCTCCTGCCCTCTACTTGTCTCGCTTCTGCGCGATCTTCTCTATCTCTAGCCATCTGTGCCCCATCCGTCTGAGATCTGTCTCTAGATCTAGTAGTCAGGATGTCACATTATACGAAAGAAAGAAAGAAAGAAAGATTTTTTTTTTAACTTGAGGTGGCGATAGAATTACCCATCCATATCTGTAAGCCTGCACTCCGCCCACGACCAACATGGCCACGATAGGCACGAGTTCGATGATACGTCCTATGGCCTCGGCCCACGGAGGTAATTTGGACTCGCTCTTGACTTGCTGGTATATCATCATGACGAAGATGAACTGTGGACGAGAGAGGTAAAACGTCAATTCTAGGTGTTGTTTTACGCCTCGATTAGCACAATTTTGATCATTTAAGAGACTAGCCTCAACCTACTTTGGCAGAGTGTTTTATTACAGAAAGGTCTGAAAAGCAACGCTGACCCATCGATAAAGCTAAGAAGATGTTGTTGTTGTTGTTGGTGGTGGTGGTGTTATTGTTGTTGATGATGATGATGATGATGATGATGATGATGATGATGATGATGATGATGATGATGATGATGATGATGATGATGATGATGTTGTTGTTGATGTTGCCGTTGTTATTGCAGTTATTGTTATAATGCGTTGCAGGCTTTGAGGTTTTCGTTGTTTGTTATTGTTGCCGTTGTTCTGGCAGTTTGACTTTTGTTGCTGTTGCTGCTGTTGTTGTTGTTGTTGTTGTTGCTGTTGCTGTTGTTGTTGTTGTTGTTGTTGTTGCTGTTGCTGTTGTTGCTGTTGTTGCTGTTGTTGTTGTTGCTGTTGCTGCTGTTGTTGTTGTTGTTGTTGCTGTTGCTGTTGTTGCTGTTGTTACTGTTGCTGCTGTTGCTGCTGTTGCTGTTGCTGTTGTTGTTGTTGTTGTTGTTGTTTGTTGATGATGATATTGTGATTTTGTTTTGTTGATCTTTAGTGAGGCTGATATTGTTATATAATACATTAATCAGTGTTGCTGACGTTGCTAATTATGTGTTTGTTCTTGTTGTTGTGTTGTTGTTGTGGGGTTTTTAAATGTCTTTGCTGTTAGTGTTGTATGTATTGCTATTGTTGCTTCTGTTACTCTTGGTTTGTCTTATTCTATTTTGTAGGAGCTACCGTTTTTGTTTGTAAGGCAGCGTGGTGAAATCAGGCGCTCGTCAAAATAATGAAAGTACAAAAATTGGCATTTTTACGCAGCTTTGGGATTTTTTATCGAGTTTTTGTTTTTTGGCTCAACACCTTTCATACCCTGAGAAGAACACATTTCAGTGTGAATTTTCACTGAAAAATTTTGATTACACTAAAATTACAGTCATAAAAGATGTAGATTTTCTATTTTCACAGACTCTCAAGCTCAGGAAATAATTCAACTTTGGCGGCCATTTTCTCGCATATTTTACCTCTGAAACCAGGCGAACCCTACCTCCTTCAATTGCTTATTATATCTTGACTAGTATTCAAGATAAATATATTTTTTTTTCATCAAAAGCAAGGCAAATGAACAGGCTTTAAGATTGTACCAATAGCTCCATAGGCCCCCAAATTGACAAGCGCCTGATTTCACCACGCTGCCTCACGTTTGTTATTTTGTTATTTTGTCGTTGTTGCTTTATTTGATTTGATTTTGAATTTGTAGTTGTTGTTGTATTCTTTAGGAGCAGAGGGAGAAGAGAGGATTTGGAAGGGGGACGGGACAGGTGTTTACAGACTTACTGCTAAAACGAGGGGCGATAGCACCGACCACGTGATGATCCAGTAGTACATGGGCTCGAAGCCAATCATCATCTTAATGTCTTTTCGGAACTCGTTGATGCCTGGTGACGGGTGCGGAAACATAGTTTTATTATTGTTGAATAGGAATGTTAAGATGATTTGGTTCTATCTATCTATTTATTTATCTAAATATCTGTCTATCTATCTATCTATCTATATATCTATTTATCTATCTATCTATCTATCTATCTATCTATCTATCGATCTATCTATCTACCTACCTATCTATCTATCTATCTATCTATCTATCTATCTATCTATCTATCTATCTATCTAACACAATTGCAGCACATGTAAAATCATAATATTTATTATAATCGAGCCAACAAACATTTTTTTCTGAAAGCTCAAAACAACAAGTTTCATGAAGAACTCATTTACTTTGAGGGAATGTTGAGGCCTATACAATTTGTAATAATACTGCTCACGGTTCGTCTGTTGGTGGCGAAGTTTGGAGTCGTTAAAAGAGAGTAAAAAACACAAAAGAAGGAGAAGAGATAAGGACAATTGCCGCTAGGTAGGAAAGAATCTTAATCGGTGGAAATTTACAAATTCACCCTTTTGTGAGAGGTGTAACGTTCATGAAATTGAAGATGAATTTCTCTTTATTTTCAGCTTTCCAAATTTGGTCCATAAAAGGAAATTATTAATATCCTCCAGTCTGACTCGGTCCACTGACAGAAATATGCTACGTGTGACCAATGATTAGAGATATGTGCACAACCTGTACTTTTTTTGGTGAAAACAATGGCCTTAGACACCGAATACAAAAGAAGGAGAAATCCACACCAGAGCACCCACCAACCACCCACGACCTGTTCTCATGCCCTTTTGGCGACATTCATTGACAGGTGAGGAGCCTGAAGATGTGGCATGTGTATGTGCTCTTTTTGATAATGTCTCACGCGTTACTCTATTCTTGAGCATCTTTATTGCAAACACACACAAGCACACACACACACACACACACACACACACACACACACACACAGACACCCACAGAACCCCCCCCCTACACACACA